GGTATAGGGTGGTGTTTATGTGACCATCGCTTATTAGCATCGTAGTGTCCAGGAAATGGATCTCTTGTGTGGACTGCTCCAGGCTGAGGTTGATGGTGGGCTGATGGTGGGATGGAAATTGTTGAAATCATGGTAGAATTCCTCAAGAGCTTCTTTTCCATGGGTCCAGATGATGAAGATGTCATCAATGTAGCGCAAGTAGAGTAGGGACATTAGGGGACGAGAGCTGAGGAAGCGTTGTTCTAAGTCAGTCATAAAAATGTTGGCATACTGTGGGACCATACGGGTACCCATAGCAGTGCCGCTGATTTGAAGGTATACATTGTCCCCAAATGTTCCAGGTTTATGGATCTTGGGTAGCAGACAGAATACCCCTGGTCAGGGTTCTAGGGGTGTGTCTCTGCGGATTTGTTCTTGTGCTTTTTCAGGGAGTTTCTTGAGCAGATGGTGTAGTTTCTTTTGGTAACCCTCAGTGAGATCAGAGGGCAATGGCTTGTAGAAAGTGGTGTTGAAGAGCTGCCTAGCAGCCTCTTGTTCATATTCCAACCTATTCATGATGACGACAGCACCTCCTTTGTCAGCCTTTTAGATTATGATGTCAGAGTTGTTTCTGAGGCTGTGGTGGCATTGTGGTCTGCACGGCTGAGGTTATGGGGCAAGTGGTGCTGCTTTTCCACAATTTCAGCCTGTGCACGTCGGTGGAAGCACTCTATGTTGAAGTCGATCGTCAAGTGGCCCCACTGGTTGTGTAGCAGGCTTCCTGCTTCTGATGTACTTAAAACATATTTTGCTATTACTTTTTGAGTCTTTGGCTAGCTATTCTTCAAATTCTTCTTTGGCCTTCCTAATTATATTTTTACACTTCATTTGCCAGACTTTATGCTCCTTTCTATTTTCCTCAGTAGGATTTAACTTCCACTTTTTAAAGGATACCTTTTTGCCTCTCACTGCTTCCTTTACTTTGTTGTTTAGCCATGGTGGCACTTTTTTGGTTCTCTTACTATGTTTTTTAATTTGGCGTATACATTTAAGTTGAACCTCTATTATGGTGTCTTTAAAAAGTTTTCATGCAGCTTGCAGGGACTGTACCTTTTAATTTCTGTTTAACTAACTTCCTCATTTTTGTGTAGTTCCCCTTTCTGAAATTAAATGCTACAGTGTTGGGCTGCTGCGGTGTTTTCCCCAGCACAGGGATGTTAAATTTAGTTATATTATGGTCACTATTACCAAGCAGTCCAGCTATATTCACCTCTTGGACTACATCCTGTGCTCCACTTAGGACTAAATCAAGAATTGCCGATCCTCTTGTGGGTTCCAGGACTAGCTGCTCCAAGAAGTAGTCATTTAAGGTGTCAGGAAACTTTATCTCTGCATCCCGTCCTGAGGTAACAGGCACCCAGTCAATATGAAGATAGTAATAATGGGGGATTTTAACTGAGTTTTTTATTTTAATAGCCTCTCTAATCTCCCTGAGCATTTCACAGTCACTGTCATCATCCTGGTCAGGTGGTCGGTAATATATCCCTACTGCTATATTCTTATTATTAGAGCATGGACTTACTATCCATAGAGATTCTATGGTACAATTTAAACACAAAAAATAACTATTGGCTAATTCACATCCCTGAGCAACATAACTTATGTCAACTTAAGTTGTATAGCCTAATCTTCGTATTACTTAAAAAATAACCCTACCACAATAAATCACTACAGTGCACACACAATTCTCCCGCAAGAGAGAGGATATGAGAGAGAAAGAGAGAGAACCACACATGACAGATGTTAGTCACATTGTTTAAGGCACTATTGGAAGGCATTCAGACACTACCGTGATGAGGGAAATATCAGAACCTGAATTGCAAAGAAGAAAATGTGCCCAATTTCCACGTGCACCTAGATGATGTGGAGTTGCCAGACACTTTACTGCCCAAGAGGCTGGGGCGGCAGGGGAGGGAGGGTGTTTTGTTTTTAATTTACATATTCTGCAGTGATCTTTAACTGGATTTGAGTCACAAAGAATAATTCCCAGATAATACTTGTGTTGTTTTTGCTCACTCTGTCCCAACCAGAGCAAAATATGGATCTTTGAACCCCAACTGGCTGTTTTTGAATTCAGAGATACCAGTCACAGTACAACCTAGCAAATGAGACCTCAGTCTCAGTTTGGGACCTCTGGGCATTACTGAAATACAAATAATGAATAATGATATCATTGTGTTATGTTCTATTGTGTTAGGGCGCTCTTCAAACACACAGTAAGAGACAATCCAGAAAAGTGTACAATCTAAATAAACAAGACAGATGAATGGTAGGAATGGAAACAGAAGTACCAAAATAAAAAGTGAAGCAACATCTTCAAAGTCACAAAGCAAGTTTGTGGTAGCGGTAGATGTAGAACCCAGGTCTTGAGTCCCAGTCCAGTGACCTAACCACAAGAACCACTGCCTCTACATTTCATCAGGGCCTCACCTGACAATCATTTACCCATATAGTCTCAAAGTATTTCGGAGTGCATTCACTATCACTGGGTTCACCTCAAAAGAGAACATGGTATTTAGCCAATGAATGTGATTGTGGGTATCTGAATATGTATGTGTTACTGTGCTGCTATATAGTTTTCTTTTTGAAAGCAAGGCAACCCCAAAATCCTGTTGAGACTGTTAGCTTGTTTGATGCCATTCTGGTGTTCACTGTGAGCTGAAAATACATTGAGGGTTATGCATTGTTTTCAAGTTTATGTTTTGTTCAACTAAAACAATCAACCACAAGCCTAACTGTGCTTGCAACAGGACTGTAATATTTTCAATAGGTGGTGCTGGTGAGCCAAGAAATTGCTTAGGCCCAGATACACAAAGGTACTTAGGCATCTAAACCCCAGATTTAGCACCAAAATGCCAGGTTTGACTCCACTGCAATCCACAGAATTCTCACCGAACCCTGTAGGTGCCTAAACTCACCCAGCACCTATATTTTCAGGGTAAAAATTCCCTCTGCCCGTTTTTCTGCCTCTTGGCATGTGCACCTCCTTCTAGGCGTCTGGAACCTATTTCCCATCTAAGCCCCCCAAAAATTCTCAAACCAGGGGAAGATAGGCGTTTAGCCACCTAATGCATGTGCATTGCTGTAGGCATGCTCAGAGGCACCTACCAGAGTGGTAACTTTTAGCCCACTGGTTACCACTTGCCTGGGATGTGAGAGATCCAGGTTCAATTCCCACCTCAACCTGAGAGGAAGAAAGGATTTGAACAAGGGTCTCACACCTCAAGAAGGCACTCTAACCACTGAACTATGGGATATTCTGATGTGGGGCACCCTCAGTTTCTCCCATTGAAGTAGTTCTACTGTGGACGAATAATGAAAAAGCAACTGGAGCAGGAGGACTGGATGCTGGGTCTCCCATTTCCCAGATGGGGCCCTAACTACTGCACTACAGAGTGAATGTGTGCGTGTGTGTGTGTCTCTCTCCTCCCCGCCAGTGAACGTTACACTGTGGATAAATACATAAATAGTCATTGAGCCAGAGAGAGAGAAGCAGAACTAGAAATCCATAAGGGGGGGTGAAGGTAGGGATGAGTTGAGACCTTGTTTGCAAAATTTTTGAACTGCTTCAGTCCTTTTTAATTCCCTTATATAATCTACTATTGACACCTTAAATCAAACACAAACCAAAGGCTTGCCTGCCATCCTTTTTACAGAGAATGTTTTACCTATTTATTTTAGATTTTTTTTTACTTGAACCTTTTTTTTAAATCAAAATTTGTTGAAATGTGGTGTCATTTTAAATAACAGCATGACCACCCATGTTACAAATGGTACGTGTTTACATCTTGTTTTAATACTAGTTCAGTAATCATTAAAAAAAGTACTAGAGACAAATTTTCTGAAGTGGTCCTAAAATCAAGTCTGCAATTTAGTATGCATATTTTCACACCTAAGTTTTTGCATAAGCAGAGTACACTTTTCAGTTATGCAATTTGTTTTAGTGCACTTTCCCACACATGCCTCTGATGGAAAAGTACAGCTGTTGTCTTCAGATTTAATAAAATACATCTCTATTTTGTAACATTATTAAACCTTTTATTTATGTATGCATCAATAAAAATGCTATTAAATCTTGTTGAATTTGGGTTTCTTTGAACAAAGATCCTAGAAAAGGATCCACACATGGACTTTATGCCTGCCTCAATTCACACTGAAATTAATAGGTCTATGGGGAAGGTCCTCCTGTCTGGATCCCTTTGTATTACACAGGTCTTGATTTGATCCTTTGAGCCCAGATAGCTAAATTCTCTCTCTCTTTTTCCCCCAAAAGCTACTGACTTGAAACAGAGAGCTCCTTTTTGCTTTACCTTTATTTTGAGAATTTTGTAAGTGGGATAAAACTTGGATTAAATTTGCTGTTTACTTAGTCTTTTGGGATTTTTTCCCTTTGTTCCTGAAAACTGTAAAGTATTTCTCAATAGTTAATATGCTCCATTCTCTAATTACTCAATCACATTTGTATAGGTAAAATGCATAAGTGCTTACAAACTTTTTAAGTATTTATTTTTTAAATTAATTGTTTTCATTTTACCTCTTAAACTTGCATTTTTATTCCTTTGCTGACCTGCAGATGATGAAGGGACTGGACTGTCAACAAGAACCGGTCTTAGAAGAGAAGCCCTCATCTGTACTCAGCAATGGAGCAAGTAGGCAGCTGGCCACTAGGATCCCCATCTATCAAAGTCACACTGTGCTCAGAGGATTTGGAGACTGCAAGTTGCTCTGAGCACCCCTGCTGTTCCGTAAAGTCCACCCTGCTGTCAGCACATAAATCTTTCCTGGAAGGCTGCAAAGCTAAGTGAATGTATATTTATCTCCAGACTCACCCAATATTTCCCATATGCTGCTAGTTATAATAAAAGTGCAAGGCAGAGCAAAAGTATTCCAGAAAAATCTTTCTCGATTTGGAATTATAATGTTTATTTACTAAGTTAAAATAGGGATCTAGGGTCTCTTACCACATTTTACATATGCATATGCTCTTCTCGCAAACAGTGGTGTATGAAGGAAAGTTCTGGAAACACAGCCAACTCGACAGGCAATCTGGAGAGAAGATAGTACATGAACTGTAATAATACGATCTAAAAAGCAGCTTTACAGTACATCCAGCATTGTTACACCAAACAAACCTGTCATTATGAACTTAATGATATTCTTGAGCCATCCACATTAGCACCATTGGTCTTTTATTTATTTCAAATTACTGTTCTTATTTACCTCAGCAGGGCTCTATAAGATTACTCCCCAGACTGCTCAGACTCCTATGGGGATGATTTATGTCATCATTCCAGTGTAACGTTTCCCATAATTGTACTGAGTTTAAAAAACATTAGAACCCAAGGGGCTAGACAAGGAGCTATAACATTAGCAGCATGCTCGTATAAATCAATTTACTCCCTTGGAGGAAAAAAAAAAATGAAGGAATTTAATGAGACTGTACATGAACCACAAAGCCAATGTGCAGTTACCATTAAGAGTGTTTAATCCAAAAGTACAGATGTATCGCACAGATAAATTCAAAAAACAAAAAAATGCAGGCATTTATTTCTATACAATATTATCTGAACAAAGAGCAAGTGAATTTAGAGCCTATGGTGCCAGAGAATTTTAATGGTCTAATTTTCAGTTTGTTCATCAATTTTATGACTATTTTTACTGCTTGTTACTCACCATTGTTTCCTATTTACAAAATCATTTATTATTATTCCTTAAAATATAATTCAATTGCTGTCAATGCCAGTGGTAAAAAAAAAAATTATGACTAGCATGGCAAGATTGTTTCCAATTACCTTAGATACAATTTATCCTGCCAATTAAAAATTTCTAGATTGGAAAGACTTTAGGGTGTGCATGAAATCTCAGACATTAATCTGAACATTGTACATATATATCACATGGAGCAGAATTTAATCAATCATTTCACAGAAAAAGTTTCTGCTTTTTCCATGCGATTTTAAACTCAGTCTATTTTAAAAATATTATGAATTAATAAACTTTGACAAACAGTGGATTCCTGTGCAATTATAACATGCCTTAGAGTATATAAAGCACGAGGTCAAAGACCAAGGGTCAGATCCCAATAAATGCTAAGTGTCTCCTGCAAGGGGCGGAGAGGGCTGCAATTTCCATCAAAGTTATCAGGAGCTGAGGATTGAGCCCCCTTTGACTAATTATCCCAGAAACACATTAGTCACCCGGTCCAGAATGTCCTATTGTCATTAGGAAATGGAATTCAGACATCAAAATTAGGAAAGCAGTTACTTGTCTTTATAAAGCTCAATCCTGTGAGGTGGTGACCGTCCTCAATGCCTACATATTCCAGCATAACACCTCACAGGAGTGTTCAGAACCCATAGGATCAAGTCCTTAACTTAAAGGGCATTAGATGTAGGTATGACATCAATGATTCATAATTATAAAGGGTCCCAACATTTGAAGCAGTCAAGGTCCATCCCTCATTTTCAAATATAGTGACCACTCAGGATTAAACTAATGAGTGGAGGTTGTGGGGGTAGGAAATGGGAAATTTCAGCTTCTTCCTCCCTCCCATTACCTAAAACACCCTCTAATTTTATTCGAAGATGTCTTACAGGTCAATTTCTAATATGCTTAATGCAATGTGCAAGCATAAGATAACCTAATATATTCAGAAAATGGATTATTTGTGGCTCTGTCTGATCTGAGTCTCCAAATGCAGTGGTGTTTATTATACTGGATGATCTCATTTTGATGTACGGTAGCTGTGACTCTAAGATGCAGCTGTCATTCACTTTAGAATAAATATAGCATAATAAAACCACAAGGTAGACACAGGACAGTATATCTTAAAGCACACTCCTTTGATTTAATCATTGGTTGAATTTTTACATAAAAACACTCATTATGTAATGTACATACTTTAAATACTACTGCAGTTTTACCTTAGGGATAGATGCAACATCTATTGCTTTATTAAGCTCTTGCACTGCTTCCTGATGGTGATTCTGTCTTTGGAAAGCTACAGCTAAATGATAATAGGTTTCAAATAGCTGAAATACACAATGAGAATCTCAAATTATTATTGAAGTTTTAGTATTGCTGAGGTTCTGAACATGTTTAGGACCGGTTTTTAATTTGTTTCAAACCAATGAAACTGCTTTTTTACCATTTCTCTTGGGCAATCGTTATTTTACATATATGTATTCTAAAATAATTTCAAATTTATTCCCTCTGCTACTCCCTAGGTACTATTTACTTTGGGCTAGATTCTTAGCTTAACTCCATTGAAATAAATGCCAGTTTACACCAGCTGAAGGTCTCGTCCTTCAACAATTATCTGGAACGTTAAAATACATTGTCCAGAAGAGAACTATAATATCATTAATATTTCACATTACAAAATCAGTAGTCCCTCTAATAAGCTACAATAGAGATATTTGTAGATCATCTAAATTAATTTAAAATACTGCAAACAACACAAAACTAAGCAGGCCCCATATTAATAAAATGGCAGTTGTAAATCTGCGGAGGTAAGAACAGGTGCAAACTGTCTCTGTCCTAAAATTCTGCCGGATGCAGCTGTCTCTAAAGCCTGGCTGAGCAAATGATTTAATTCTCAACTGAACAGCATAACCAACACGCATTAATTTATTTCTAAAGACAAGTATTTGTAGTTGCAATGAAGAAACATATGGCAGCTGCACACTGGAGCCAATCTTACAGACAAATAAGGCTACATCATGGTAAAACTCTAGCCCCAGTGAAGAACGATTGCCAGGTGTCCAGTTTTCGACTGGAAAGCCCAGTCGAAAAGGGACACTGGTAGCTCTGGTCAGCACCAGCGACCGGGCCATTAAAAGTGTGGTCGGCAGTGCTGCAGATCTAAGGCAGGCTAATCCCTACCTGTTCTGGCACTGCGCAGTGCCCCAGAAGCAGCCAGAAGGTCCAGTTCCTAGGCAGAGGGCCACGGGGCTCCACATGCTGCCCCTGCCCCGAGCAGCAGCTCCGCACTCCCACTGGCCCCTCCCACACCCTGAACCCCTCATTTCTGGCCCCATCCCAGAGCCTGCACCCTGAGTTAGAGCCCTCACCCCCTCCCGCACCCCAACCCCCTGCCCCAGCCCAGTGAAAGTGAGTGAGGGTAGGGGAGAGCGAGCCACCAAGGGAGGGGGAATATAGTGAGCAGGAGACGGGGCCTAGGGGAAGGGACAGGGAAGGGGGTGGGGCCTTGGAGAAAGGGTGGGGCTAGGATGTTCGGTTTTGTGCGATTAGAAAGTTGGCAACCCTACAGTGAAGTCATTAGGAGTTTTATCATTTACTTCAATGGGGTCAGAATTTAATCCTATGCCTATGAAGACCTGCACAGGGAGTGGGGGGGGGGGTGCAGCACCTGAGCAGTGGTGGCCAGGGGATACTTGAGGGAACATTACTGCACTTTTTGAAGGCTGTAACCAGCTCTCCCCCAAATACTCTATCTGGTGCACAAAGGGCCCATCCCATCAAACATGTCAACGTGGCAGGGATGACAACACTGCCAGTAGCACTGCTCTCCACCACTACCTTGTGCTCTCCAGCACAACCATGCATCATTAAGCTAACTGCTCTGGTTCTCTCTTTCATCTGACCAGACAGTGTGCTCTCTCAGCTTCCCTGGCACCCAGTCAGATAAATGTGGATCAAACATATAATTCAGTTATATGTTCTTAAAATATAATACATTCACATGTTGGTGTTATCCAAATGAAGGCTCCAATCCTGCAACCAGATCCAGGTGAACCCTTGCACACATATAGTGCCCTAGTGATATCGAGGGTCCATCCACAAAGATCTGATTGCCGAACTGCAGCCTGACATTGTATCATTTTGTAAAACAACATTAGTCCAGTACTGTCAATCCTGAGTGTTCAAAAGTCATGAGCAATGTCTCCAAAAATCATGTGATTTAATTAAAAGTCATGGGGTTTCTTTTTAGTGGTTCTTTTTATTTCCCTTCTGCTTATTGAGCCTTTAGGGTTCCCATTTTCTCTGCAAACGCGACGGTTAGAAACTTTTTTTTAAAAATGAAACCTGAGATTTTCACATAATCACATCACTTCAAAAGCTGGGATTTGAAGATAGACCATCTATTAGAACACTTGTAATAAAACGGCAAGAGCTGACAATCCTGCTTGTCACTTGAGAAATGGTTTTAAAATTACCAGTTGTGAATAGTAAGGACCAGGCTCAAAGTCTTTGGGAAGTTCCTCTTTGCTCAAAGTTTTCAAGAGTGCTGTGTAATGTGCAACAACCTGAAAGCAAAAACCATAAATGGCAAAATGACCAAAAGCCAGCATCAGACTCTGGGAGTTTTTGAGAGTCAGAAATGAGAAGCACTGCAGAGTGCAAAGCTCAGCTCAGCTCCTCTGGACACCAGGCTCCACCTCATAGGCCTAGGAGAGCACTACCTCAGAGCACAAAGAGCCACAAATTAGTGCCACAGCAAGTTATCATAGTTCTGGGTTACCTGCTGTGGCTGGGATGAAGAACACGATGGCTAGTTAAGGGAGTCGGCATAGCTAATGTGAATAAGACACCCCTCCCCCCGGGGGTCTCCCCTCCTGCCCCGACCCAGCCGGGCGCTGCTTAGCCTTGGGGTGGGGGGTTCCCCCAAACCGCCCGGCCCGTGCCCAGCGCCCTCTGGCGGAGGCGGGCGGAGTCACCTCGCTCCAGCGCATGGCCCGCTCGCTGGCTATCGCGGAGATCAGCTGCGCCTCGGCCCGCGCCCGCACCCGGGTTAGGACCGTCGCCGCCGAGGAAGAGGGGAAGGAAACGGAGGGGCTCGAGGCGGCGACTTGCGGGAGCGAGCAGGGCCTGGCCGAGGCCATGGAAGGCGGCCGGACGTGGGCCATGCAGAGTCCAGTGCGGCGACAGGCGGCCCGCCGCGCTGGGCACAACGGGCCGCGTTTCCATGGCACCGGGAGGGCGGGACCGCAGGGCTGTGGGAGAGCTGCGCTGAGGCCTCCCTGCGGCCGCCCCTTCCTCCCCCCGGCCAGCGCGCGCCGCCTCCGCTGACCTGCCCCCCCCCCCCCGCAGCAGGGAGCGTTTCACCCCGAGTCTGCCTCGCCCTCTGCGCTCCTCGCCCTGCCTGGGCCGCCCGCGCCGCGCCGCTCCCCGCTGAAAGCCGCTCGGCAGGGTTACTGGCGGGGGGATGCCGCGAGTTTCCTTCCTTCGGGGCAGGGGGAGCCAGTCACTTGCCGGAAAGGCCTTTCCCCCAGGGCAGGGCTGCTGCGGCTGCGGTTCCTAACGCCGGGCAGCGAGGGTGGATTCACTTGATCGCCTCGGGAAGGCGGCTCCATTGGCCGACCTCCGCAATCGCGGCTGGCTTGAGCTCTGCGCTCCCCCCCCCTCACTTCCCGCTGAGCGTCGTGGTCTGCCTTGTCCACAGCGTGGCGGGAATATCCAAATGTTGTTGTTAACCTCCTTCTTCTCTTCCTTCCCCCAGCCCCCCAAATATTCACTCAAACCATCCTTCCCGGAAGTGCAGGACTGGGTCCCAGGCTCTTCTAAACCATCGTAAGCAGGATACATTCCTATGCAACAATGAAGGCCCCACGTCATCCAAACTCCTCCTTTCTAAATCTTTGCAAAACAAAATTATTGGAATACATGTGATATTGGCTGACTCTCCTTGCTGTTATTTATCAGGCGGGCTTTGGCAGACCATTTCCTAAATTTCCATAACTGTCTCATCCCACAAACCCAAACACCCTTGCCCGGTCCGCTACCCAGAGGCCACGCCCTGGGCCCCACCCCTGCTCCCAGACCATGCCCCCTCACTCAATCCCCCGACCACCACCCATCACTCACTCACCCTCACTCACTTTCACCAGGCTGGGGCAAGGGTCTGGGCTCTGGGAGGAAGTTTGGTTGTAGGCTTGGGCAGGGGGTTGGGGTATGGGGGGGTTCAGGGTGCAGGCTCTGGGCTGGGGCAGGGGGTTGGGGTGCAGGAGGGGGATGAAGGGTGCGGGCCCTGGGAGGGAGTTGGGGTGCGGGCTCTGGGCTGGGGCAGAGGGTTGGAGTGCGGGAAGGGCTGAGAGGTGCAGGTTCCGGCCGGGCAGCACTTACCTTGGACAGCTCCCGAAAGCGACTGGCACATGCCTCTGGCAGCAGCTCCTAGGCAGGGAGCCACGGGGGTCTCTGTGCGCTGCTCCTGCCCAGAGGCACCGCCCCCATAGCTCCCACTGGCTGCAGTTCCTAGCCAACGGGAGCTGCAGAGTCAGGACTGCCCCCCCTCCAGGGGCCGCAGGGACATGCGGGCTGCTTCCGGGAGCGGTGCAAGACCAGAGCAGGCAGGGAGCCTGCCTTAGCCCTGCTGTAACACCAGACTTTTAGCATTTTGACATTTCCCAGATTGACTGTAGCAGGAGATAGAGCTCAATTCCGGGAGACTCCCGGCAAAACTGGGAGAGTTGGCAACCCTATTACTACCATGTTCCAGTGAAGAAATGGAGAATTAAGCTGTTATTCTGAAGGTTTATCTCTGTTCCATCATTACTTCTCAGTCTAATAAATAACCAGCATGAAGAAAATGAGTTAGTATGCAGAGTTTCCTTAGAAGAATTTAATCTATCATTGTTCATTATTACATAAAAATTGTGTTTTTAATTTATGCTGTTGGAATATTACAGGGATATTCTTTGTCTAGTTTGTTTTGTTATATGAGCAATAGGTGTAAGTGCCCCATTTGTTGACTGCCTCTATCTCCACATTGTTAGTAGCTTGAAGCGAAAGTGGTAATATCTGGAATAATTATTCTTTTACATATCTTTTTTCTTTTAATATCACAGTATTAATAATATGATCCAGAACACATTCAGGACATTTTATTAACAAGCATGATGATGACTCATTCACTCCATTCTGAGCATAACTTTTCTAAACATTTACAAGTTATCCACCCCAGCTGCAAAATTGAAAAATACTTAATTGTGGGGCGAAAAGTCGGTAGGTTGTGATAAAGCATTTGAAGTACTCCACCATTTTTTTTCAGTACCTATAGCCTTGAGATCTGCTCATGTGACACTTTAAAAGGCAAAGTTATCATTTAGGACTTAGGCCTGGTCTACAGTATGCGGTTATTTCGGAATTAGCTGAGTTAATTCAAACTAAAACTCATTCCGTCCACACGACCAAACCGTTTTTTCCAATTTAAAGGGCTCTTTAATCCGATTTCTGTACGCCACCTCAGCAAGGAGTAGCGCTAAAATCGAGATCGCAGTTCCAGGTTACAGGTACTGTGGACACAATTCGATGTTATTGGCCTCTGGGAGCTATCCCAGCATGCTCCCTTGTGACCGCTTTGAACAACACTCTCAACTCTGATGCACTAGCCAGGTAGGCAGTAAAAGCCCCATGAACTTTTAAATTTCATTTCCTGTTTGGTCACCATCAGCACAGTCCACCATCACAGGCGACCATACAGAGTCCACCATCACAAGAGACCACGCAGTCCCGGATTCGCAGATGAGCTCCAGCATGGTCCGAACGGGAGGTACTGGATCTCATCGCATGTTGGGCAGACGAATCTGTTATGGCAGAACTACGTTCCAAAAAAAGAAATGCAAATACATATACTAAAGTCTCCAGGGCCATGACAGAAAGAGGCTACTCCAGGGACACAGAGCAGAATCATGCAAAAATCAAGGAGCTCAGGCAAACGTACCAAAAAAACAGGGAGGCCAACGGGCGCTCTGGGTCACAGCCCCATACATGCCGCTTCTACTGTGAGCTGCATGCAATTATGGGGTGTGACCCTACCACTGTCCATGGACACCTGCAAGGGGGGAGTTGCACGGAGCAAGGAGGATGAGTTATTGGCGGAGGAGGACGACAGTGCACAGGTGGCAAATGGGGAATCCGTTTTCCCCCCTAGCCAGGAACTGTTCTTAACACTGGACCCAATAGCCTCCCCCCACTCCCAATGCAGGCTCCTGGACCACAACCCTGGAGAAGGAACTTCTGGTGAGTGAGAGCCTGATTGGAAAAGGGGGGTGGGAGGGAAACCCAGCTGTGCTGGGCTGTTCGCATTTAGTTTAAAGGGCTCATCCCTGCTCAGAGCCTCATCGGAGCCACAGGGTGTGTGTGCGGTGGGCGGGGGGGCTCTCTTCATCCCAGAGAGCCTGCAGGCCCTCCTTTTATATGGCAAACTCACCAGGCATTGCTTGCTATGGGAAAGGGGGCCTAGCAGTTTGAAAGCATTGAAATGAATGCGGAAGCAGCAGAACTCCGCGTGCCCTAGGGCTTACCATGGCTGCCTGCAAGCTGAATTCTGTTGCCCGGCTGTGTGTGATGGCTTACTTACACCAAAGTGGCAGGCACTTCAGTATAAGAGGCAAAATGTGACCTTGTACAGAAAGAACATGTGCTGTGTACTATGAATTGCCTGTTTCACTGAGAAAGTGTCCCCTTTGTTCTCTAAAATGTATCTTTTAAAATACTACCCTCCTCCTGCAGGTGCAAATGTTTCAACGCGGCCCCTATCCACTCCGTCCCAGAGGCTGGTCCAGATTAGAAGGCGGAAAAAACAAACTCAGGACGACATGTTCGCTGAGCTCATGCAGTCCTCCTACACTGATAGGGACCAGCTGAATGCATGGAGGCAAACAATTGCGGAGTCTCATAAAGCGTTAAGTGAACACTAAGAAAGGAGGGACGCACATGATGAGAGCAGGCAGGATGCTATGGTCAAGCTCATGGGGGAGTAAACTGACATGCTCCGCTGTATGGTGGATCTAATGCGGGAAAGGCAGAAAGACCGCAGACTGCTGCTGCAGCCCCTGTATAACTGCCCTCCGTCCTCCCCAAGTTCCATAGCCTCATCACCCAGATGCCAAGAACACGGGGGGAGAGGCTATGGGGACCCACACACTCAACCCCAGAGGACTGCACAAGCAGCAGAATGTTGGCATATCCAAAATTTTGATTTGGTTTCTGGACTTGTCTTTCCCTCCTCCTCCACCCCCTTTCCCCAGTACCCCCCCTCCCCTGGTCTACCTTCTGATTTCTCTCAAAGTGTTGTGTAATAAAATAATAAAGAATGTTTTTTAAACAATTGTGACTTTATTTCCTTTCATATATATAGTGGGTGGGTAACTTCAAGAGAAACAAACACAACTGTCACACCATACCCTGGCCAGTCATGAAACTGGCTTTCAAAGCTTCACTGATGTGCTGCGCGCCCTGTTGTCTGGCTGTGTGAAATTGGCCGCCAGGCGAGTTGCCTCAACCTTCCACCCCACCATAAACGTCTCCCCCTTACTCTCACAGATATTGTGGAGCACACAACAAGCAGCAATTACAATTGGAATATTGGTTGTGCTGAGATCTAACTGAATTAGCAAATTGCGCCAGCATGCTTTCAAACATCCAAAAGCACATTCTACCACCATTCTGCACTTGCTCAGCCTATAGTTGAACTGCTCCTTACTACTGTCCAGGATGCCTGTGTACAGTTTTATGAGCTATGGCATTAAGGGGTAGGCTGGGTCCCCGAGGATAACTATAGGAATTTCAACATCCCCAACAGTAGTTTTCTGGTCTGGGAAGTAAGTCCCTTCCTGCAACTGTTCAAACAGACCAGAGTTCCTGAAGATGCGAGTGTCATGCACCTTTCCCAGCCATCCCATGTTGATGTCAGTGAAACGTCCCTTGTGATCTACCAGTGCTTGCAGCACCATGGAAAAGTACCCCTTGCAGTTTACGTACTGGCCTCCCCGGTGTTCCGGGCCAAGATAGGGATATCTGTTCCGTCTATCACCCCGTTGCAGTTAGGGAACCACAGCACATTAAAGCCATCCACAATGGTCTGCACATTTCCCAAAGTCACTATCCTTGATAGCAGCTGGTCAATGATTGCGTTGGCTACTTTCAACACAGCTGCCCCCACAGTATATTTGCCCATTCCAAACTGATTCCTGACTGACCAGTAGCTGTTGGGCGTTGCAAGCTTCCACAGGGCTATGGCCACTCGCTTCTCAAC